AAGTCCCTTCGCAAGTATTGGGCACGCTTTTATTAGCCCATGAATTGCACGAAAACAATTTTTAAAACAAAATAAATCTGTTTTAATATTGAGAAATGCTCGACTATAAATTTCCCTGTCAAAAGTTCTAAATGAAAAGAATTTAAGATATATTCTTACTTACCTTCTTAAACTAAATCATCTGAAGGCATTTTAAGTACCGATGCTAGTTGAATATTGCTTGTAAAGCTAGCAAAAGCTTGTTTTCGTTCTTTTCATCCTGAAAGAAAATAAATGATAAAATAGATTAAGCTAAAAGGCTTTTCTTCTAAAGTGGACCCCCAATTATATAAATTTTTAAAAACAAATTCTGTTTTGTTCATAAAAACATTTACGACTCTTAGTATAATTTGAGTCAAATCTCTTGAGTAAAAAAATGTATTAATTGCATTGACTATTTTATTTTGATGTCATATTATATATATTTATTTATGCATATCAAGCTATATTTTTAAATATGACCTCCTCCTATATACGGTATCAAAAGAGCTTTATATAAAATACCAATTTTTTTGTTTTTAATGTTATTGCCGTATAAATTGACAGCACCTTTAAGCATTTGCACATAATTCGTTGTCTTTTATATTTAATGCTTCTTCAGCTTCTGTCAACGCATCTTTTGGCTGCCATAATTCAAGTCTTGTCAGCCTGGCCGACAACTGGCACGCCATTTGCATAGCTAAACATTTGCTTCTAAATACAAATTTCAACAATTTTGCTGTTTTTATATGTACTCGTATTTGCACGCGTTTTATTTTGATGTTTGGGTTTTTACTTGCTTTTTATTTTCCTTTGCATTGGCGCGTTTATTGACAAGGCAAAGAACGTGAAGATTTTGGTAGTGTGTACTTTTGATATTTGTCTTCATTTATTTTTATTGATTTTGCTGCTGTCGCTGCTGCTGCTATTTTAGCTGATTTACTATATATTATCAGGCATATATACGTGGGGAGCGGCCAATGGCCAATTTCATTTTCATTTGCTAAGCCATTGAATAATCACAATGCATTTTTTGTTCGCAGTCTTGCTAGCTTCCATTTTAGCCTGGCATTTTACGACCTCTGGCAATTTTTCGCACACTCTCTGCGCTTGGTTGACTTTCGAACGCTTTTCAATTATTTAATTTTCCACTCACGTTCGTTAGGTCGACAAAAATTTAGCGATATAAATCCGGAAAGTGCATCTTCAGCGCGCACTCGATGGCGACATTCTCACGTTTTCATTCATTGGCATTAAGGTTTAGTTGATCGCCTCCGCTGCACCCTCGCTGCCCCTTTGCTTTGCCCTGGTGCATGCTTCATTTGGCCAACTGCAGCAGCTGAAGGCGATTGATGTCAGAGAGTTAGAGACAGAGCTGAAGGCAAAGCCAGTCAACAGCTAGAGTTGCAATTGAAGATGGGTTGGCGAATTTGCCGGGCTTGGCTGCATAAATTCCATTGAAATGGCAAGCCACTCGCATCATCATCATCATCACCGTCATCATCATTGTCGTCTTCAGCTTTAGTTGGGCCATTAATATCAACAAACACCGCAATGTGGGCAGCCCAGTGACACACAAAAGTGGCAACTTGCAACACAAAAATAAAAACAAAAATAAAAAATAAAAAGTGGGAAAATCTCGAAATCTACGACACGAAGAAGCATGCAGGCCGCATTTGAATGCTGGGCCGGTTCCCCCGATTCAATGCAGTTAGTCAGTTGGTCTGTTTGGCTAAAACTTTTTGCAGATGCGCAGCTTGCCAACTCCTACAGCCAGACATCGCTGGTTGCTCTCCGATCCATTAAGCCGACCAGTTTGTGGCCTAAGCCAAGCTACAGGCCTGTTTCCCGTTTAGGGCAAACTCTTTGGTTTTTATTTTCCTTCTTTATACGTACTGTTGTGTTAAGTTGTTGTCGTTGTTTTTATTGTTGTTGTGGCTGCTGTTGTGCACACCTGCACCTGACGTTTCGGCTTACCGTTTACAGCAGCCGCAATTTCAGTTCTCTAGCGCTGTTTATCTGTGTTATAGCCTCGACAACAACTGCTGCTGCAGTAGTTTGAATAATAAACCACTAAATGTGAAATTGTTCAGAAGCTAAAAAAGTCCTACGCTAGTACACCTATAAACGAGTAAAGATTTACGATAAACCTAAACCCAGTCAGATAACAGCCAGTAAATGTAGTTTACATTTTTGCTCATATCATATTTATATGAGTTTCTAGCGAACTCCAATCGATGCTGGAGTTAAAATTGTTAAAATCTTTCTAATCATAATTTAAAACCTGTTAAAATCGTATAAAATTTTAATTTTCCGGGCTGTCTCTCCTTTTGCATTAACTATCCCAGACTGGATATGACTAAGAAAATGTCTTCAATGTTTAAAGTTTTATCATATATGTTTTATGCTACCCTAAACAAAGGCTTCATTTACATTTATTGTAAATGAGAATATTCCGTATTATTTTAAGAATTCAGTTTATTTTTGTTCCACCCTTTGATAACATCGTGCGGCGAAAGGCCTTTGAAAACAATTCTGTTTATCATTCCACTTACTGCAATTTCACTTTAATTAGGAAGTTTTTAGCTGTACTGTGATGTGGCAATTTTAATTGGGCTACTCTGCAGTAACATATCAATTATTTCATTTGGATGGTGTTTGCTGTTTTTAGGTATTTGCAGCTCAAAGGTAACTCAAATAAATGATTTCAAATATTGCATTGCGGGGCACAGAGAGAAAATTACGTATACGCCGTGTCGACTGTTTGTGTGTGGAATGCCCACTAATTTGCGCTTGTTTGTGTTTTTGTTTTTCATCTTCTCATGACACTATTTTGCAGTCATCTGACGCTGAATCGTGTTGTGTTCACCTTATTAAGGATTGTAGATGTGTAACGGCATTTCATGCAAAACACGGCACATTTTGTATTTGGAAAATAAATTTCCGGCTCAGTCGTTGATTTGCAAAACAGAAAACCCTATTACTGGGCCATACTCGTATCTAGTATCTGACACCTACACGCTACATCTGCAGTTCCCGTGGCACGGCAAGAGCAACGGCAACGGCAGCATTCGCTGTAGTCATATTACATGTCATGTGGACATGCATGATTCATACACCTGCAGGTCCTAGCTAGACACATCCTTTTACACTTCAACACGCTTTTGCTATAATTTCCTGTACGCCGAAAGCCACACTGAAATTCCACACACAGGCTTATTCATATCTGAGCTGATGCACCTTGGCTCTGCCTGTCTGCCAGCCAGCCCGAACTAATTCGAAATAACTTTGTAGTTATCATATTCTAATAGTAGCTTACTTTGCGAATATTGCCTTGTTAATTGCATTGACAGCTGCCAGGAAATGACCTTCATCCGGCCAATTGCAGTTTGGCAAATTGGCTTTTAACTGATGCTTTAGGCAAATATGCAAGCGGCGCCTTTACAAATGGAAATTGAAAGGCAGACGTGATTAGCATCGACCTAGAAAACTTTCTAGCGCACACCCATTGAGCAATTGAGTCACAAATTTGGTAAGATAACAACGACAGCAACAACAAAAGCGAAAAATGTTAAACAATCGACGCGTGTTGTACCAATTTCAATTTCGATTGGCTGCCCGTTTTAATTGACATGCAACGCATCGTGTCGTGCCGTTCGCTAACCAACTTGGATTGGGCTCTTGGCCCGGCTTTTAAACGAGTGTCGCCATCGGCCCAAATTTGCCATTGCATTGACCAAAATGGGCGCCGCGTCGACATCAATTGCGTCAGCAGCAATCAGCAGCAACTATTGAGCAATTGGTCAAATGCTTTTCACTGTGTCAGGTTCAAACTTGAAACATGTCCGCTGCCAGTCGCAGCTGACGCACAATGCTGGTCTGGGAAAGCACAAATAATTTGGCATAACAAAATACTGTGTGCTGTTCACGTCATGATTTATTAATATTCGGTTGATGTAATGGAACCATATATATTCTCTGCACTGTATACAAATATTTAGGGCAAGCTGTTATTGTATTTAGAATAATACAACATGATCTAAAAGCATTTTTCTAGACTGATTTGGTGGAGAACTTGATTTTTAGTTCATAGTTGGATATGAAAATATTGCTGACAATTTACTCAACTGCGCTTTTTGTTTGTACAACTTTTTAATTATATTTTCCCCTAACGGGTGCACATGAGCCTTGTGAAATATACATATATATATATTGAATGTTAAACACATCTTCAGAAAGAGCTTAACACACGTTTTTGTTTTCTCATTTTCCACGTTGCTTCTTGTTACATTGCTGTGAAACATTTTTTGGCATGTTTTTCAAATAATTGTTCTTCATTTTGGGCCATCAATCAGCTGCCAGTATGTGACATACTTAATAATTACGTATACGCAGCGTGCGGCACACGAATATTTTAGCGAGTATAATGCATGCATTAAACGAAAATTGCTAATCTTAAATGCCTGCAATTTGATGTTAAAGAAAAATTCTTGCTTACTTACATATACATATATATCTGTATGAGGACTGCTGCATTGATGAAATTTTGCGCCAACACTCAAGACAAATACTTCAAATACCACTTGAAAGCCGGCGCAATTGTTGCAAAAATGAAAAGCGTAAAGTGTTTTGTTGAAAACGTTCCAAAAACAACACATAGAACGCCTGCCGACAAATGTAAACAAACTGTGGGCCCAAAAACGACGCCGTCGACGCAGTCAATAAAACAGCACCAGCTGACGCCCGTTGGAGGCGGGGGACTGAGTTGAATGGGCTGCATTGAAATCAAAATAAAAACTGGGCGGAACGGCGAAACATTTGCCATGCAAATAGGGCTTAAAAAATGCTTCACTCTGACGAACATTCGAGTGCAATTAAATGCAAAATATTTAACAATGCAGCAATGCATAAAAATGAAAGAATTGTTCGCAAAATTGGAGTTAAATTATAAAAGTGATGCCCCCAATCAATGGCCATGTTAATTGCGCACAATATATGCAGTATATGTGTTGATTTTTTACTTAATTGTTACATACAGAAGCAGCATGTTTAACAATATATATTGAGGAAATGTATTCCGATGCTGCTACAAATTTACAAGGCTGAGAACGACTATAGAATAGTTTACAATCAACTTTCGAGGCAGCTTCTTCGTTTTTGGCAACGCCAGCTATTCACCCGTCATTTGCAGGACAATGGTTTCCGAAGTCGATTGGAGAATAGAATATCGCTTGCCCGGCATCCTTAAGCACGTTGAACTCACATTAATCAGAATAAGGATTATCCGTATGCTTGAACTGGCTTAGGTTAAGCTTGAAGCATCCATCCGGTCAGTATCTGGGTCAAGTAAGAGTCCACATGTGTGTGTCGGTGTGTGTTTGTGTTGCGACTGCATTGTTTTAAGTGGCACTCGGTTTGCACAATTCAAAAAACGTATGCACCAGGCGCAGACTAGATCATTCTGACAGACAAATTAAGTGCTGCGAAGGAGACAGCGACAACAACGACAACAACCCGTTTTACGTTGAGTGCTCTTATATGATGTCAGCCACCTCACACCTTCACCTTTAGCTAGTGTATTATTTGCTGGAATAAGTAACTTCGCCGCGTCGTAGCTTGTTATTCTTTGTTATTTGTCACAGAAGAAAGCATACGTATTATATATACACATTTTATTTTTATACTTAACTTACAAACCATCTGTTTGGCTGTCTTTTCGAAGATATCAAAGAAACAGACTACATACTTCGGCTATATATTTAGGTATACTCCTGAAAGTTTTTAATGATGCTAATTGGGAGGGCAGGTAAATCACAAATATCGGAATCACCCAAAATGTTTTTAAACAGGTAGATTAATGATCTCTTTGAACGTTTTAACATTCCTTAATTATTCATTAAGTATTTCTATTTTCCATTTGGACTCAGCTGTGTGCACAGAGTATTGAACAGTCGACTACTGCGAGCTCACTGTTTTTTCATGGCACATCGAAATGAATTTTCGAAGAATTTCATGTAAATTCAACATGACAATTTTCTTTCTAGTCGCGAACATCACTGGCATAGAATATCTACACGTACGTAAGCGTACAAAAAAAAAAAAAATAAATATATGTATTACCTCTGTGTATTTTATATATCTTGCGCCAATTTGCACGGCGGATTACATCACAGACTGGGGAAAAGGGGCAACTAAAGGCACAAGAGGGTGGAAAAGCATCTCAACATGTCATATGGCTTGCATTTAATTAACAAGCTAATTTTTTAAAGCACAAATCGCTGGGCGTTGCAATGCAAAACATAAAGATCAACATGAGGATCAGGAAAAGTTGTGTGGGGAAGGGGGGGGGGGGGACAGTTGCCGCCCGCGTGGGGCCAGAAGAGATTGGGCGGTGCCAAAAATATAAAAACTGACATTTGTGTGCCTTCACAGTGCCTGCTCTTTGGGTAGCCTAATGAGATGAGATACGAACCGCAACCAATGCATAAGACATGGTTTATTATTGGATGCAAACGCTTCTGTGTACAACATTTTTCTTATCTTTCATGGGATTTGGGCTACTTTTGGAACACTTTTCTTGTACTCTATTCACAACATGAAGAGAGTACATTGGTATTGCGAAATGCCTGCTTTCAGTTCGAAGTCAAGATACTTTGAAAATATAAAATGATTCACAAACCTTTCCAAACAGACTTCGATCCTTATAGATATGTAAATCAATATATTGCCAAGATATAGTAACTGATAATTTTAGGTTTACAATTCTTAAATCTTCAGTGATTTGATTTTAAAAAGTTGTCCATTCTAGTTTCCTGCTTGTTCTGGAAATAAACATATCCATTTTAAATCTTTTACTTTACTATTCTGATGACATATTGCTGCGTATTTTGTACTAATTACATTTAAGATTTGTAGGATTTCAAAAGTGACAGAGATTGCTGATTCTGTCAGTTTTAAAATTTCCCAAATATCTCCAACGTTTTGTTAAATCCCAAAATTAATATCCATTGCGGGTAGCCAGACAAGGCAAGCGCTGTAACCAACAAACACAACAGCAGGCAACAAATTTACAGTAAAACATATTAAAATGCCACTCACACGATAATCCCCCTTTTTCCATTGCTTGCCTTGCCTTCTCGCTATATTTTACCTCCCCTCTCGCTCGGCTACTCTCAAATGACAAAAAGTTTGCCGACAAAATGGTTGGAAAGGTGGAGTTTGGCTTTGCATTAGGGGGATGGGATGGGTTTTTATTTAGCTACAATAAGCTGCAAATTTTGCATATTTCATAGATGTTGACAGGTAGCGCTGTGTGTGTGTGTGTGTGAGTGGAACAGAATATGTGTGCGTGTGTCTATGTGGGGTGGTGGGTGCCAGGTAACCCAAGCAAAATAATGGCTTAAATTTATACAAATAAAAATTGCAATTTAGAGCAGGCAACGCCACTCGCCCACGCTGTATATGTGAATGTATATATATGTTTGCGTGTGTGTGTAATTCGCAGTCACCTTTGTCTACCCAAGAGCTTAGCGGCTACCATAGATACCGGTCATGGGTTACCTGCAAATATAAACTATATGGATTTCATTTTGCACTTTTATGGCAGAAAGCTACCACAGAGAAGCAACACACACACACACACAGAGACAATCATTTTTGGTAGTCCAGCCAAAACGAAATGCGTCACCATAAATACAACTAACAATCAGTTCACAGGGCCAGACTGTTAGATACCCATCTCAAATGAGCGTTGCATACCGAGCTACAAGAAATTTCGCCAAGTGTATCTAAATAAGAGTCCAAACCAGAGCGAAAAACGTCAGGCTTATACCAAGAATTTTCGTTTATTTTTCCAAAAATATGATGCCCAACCTTCTTCATTTTAGATACACTCGATGTGGTCTTTAAAATCCTAAGTAACAAGATATTAATACTTAAATTCGAGCTCGTATCTCAGTATTCTATTATCCCTTGCCAGTTTATATCCACACATTCTATACCTTATAATACGAATAACAAATTTTTAAACGTTTTTAAAATCATAGTTCCTAGTTGGGCATTTAAACTAAACTAATATTTGTTATTTTCTTTATATAATTTACATAAAAACCCAAAAAGGATAACCATACTAATCCGATACCCTCCTTTGTCTGCCTCTCTCATTTGCAGCACATGGTGCAGGCTGGCGTGGCGCCTTTTCCAGGCGCACCAGCTGGCTATGCCGCAGCACCTGGACCGGCCGCTGCAGCCGCTGCTGGTGCGCCCACAGCGGCAGAGAGCTTGTCGCTGGCCGTGACAGCAGCCGCAATCAAAACTGAGCCTGGAATGCAGCTAAAGGCAACCGCCGAGTCTGTAGCAGCGGGCAATGGCAGCACAGGAGCCACCGGTGCAACACCAGCTTCTGTGGCAGTGTCCACCAGTGTTGCCGATGGTGTAGTCGTCAATGCGCCATTGTATATTCAACAAAAGGTGAGTTTGCCCAGTCAACTACTACATTAACTACATTTTTACACTCTATATTAGTGTATGTATGTGTGTGTGTGTGTGTGTGTGTGTGTGGAAGTGTGTTTGTATTTTGGATTGTATTTTGTAGCATTTTTGGCTTTGGCTTTTGGGTTCGGTTTGGTCTTGCTCTGCTTTGATTTGGCTTAATTTGGTTCCATTTTGTAGTCGTTGGATGTGCCTATAAATATGCACAAACTCACGCACACACACACAAACACACATATACACACGCACACACGATTACACAACAAGCGCCATGTTTGTTGCTGTTGCTTTTACATTTTTGATCACACGCGTTGCGGACATAACTGTAAATACCAGCAGCAGCAACACGCAGAGGAGCACAATCTAAGCTCTCTGGCGCTCACAATTTAGCATTCATATTTTGTATTGCATACTTTTTGGTGCTGGTCCAGCACGTCGCTGTGGTTATTGTTTATGCGCAGCAGCAAACGCTGGAGGATATTTTGCTTAGCTCTGTGTTTTACTGCGTTCGCATACATTTCACATTTTTTTCTAATTAAAAAACACAACAAATCAAAACACGCACTATACCAAAGAAGAAGAAAAAAGCCAGAAAGAAGGCAAACGTTGTTTGAAATCAAAGCGACAACAATTTGTGAACATGGAGTTTTCACCATAGTCTATCTCTCCCACATGTCTTAAATTAAATTTTTAAAATTTTCAATAAATATTTCATTTGATTCAGTTTATGTATTATGCCAAAAATTCTTTTTGTACAAAATCAGTTCACACACAAAAAAAAAATGAAGAAATGAGCACACATTGAATTTGGTTTATTTGCATATGCGTGACATTTTATTTTGCAGCTTGGCCACGCCCATCATTTGTTATTTGAGGACCGGCATGTACTTATTTGTTTATGAAATTTGATTCGTGCATTTGAATAATTTAACAGTTGAGCTTTGCATTTTTCAACTAAGCTTTTGTGTAACATTTAATTTGAATGCAACACAAAAAACCACACACACACGCGCGCGCCGTAACATATACGCATACGCACGCAGTTGTTTAATTATTTACATTTAATTGTTGGCGAACTTTTGCCTCACATGTGCAATAAATAATCAAATATTTAATTATTGCCAATAATATTGGTCGTTGTTGTTTAATTTAAATACTTTTCTTCTGCTACTTCGTTCCTCGTTTGTAGTTGAACTTAACTCTGTGAAAATAGGCAAAAATTATAAATATATTTAGAAATTCTTTGTGTACATTGGATCAATTGTACATTCATTTATATTACGTCCACACAGTGTAGAACATTTAAAATAACACACACATCAAGTTAGAATGGTGTTTATGGTAACAACTAATTGGCAGCTTGTCCCTCATGTAGGGTAGTCTGAACCTTCGATACTGCAATGCGTTATACCATATAGTTGTTCGGTTTGGCCGCATCAAAAGTCGAATCTATTAAAATTTTCAACAAGAAAGTTTTAAGACTTAAAGACTAGCTAGCGTTATTTGGTCTACGTTTACTTTGGTACCTACTTTAATGACTTCAAGGATGTTTCATTTGCCTAGATGATTTTCAATTTTCTGAAAGTAAACACACTGCAACATAAAATCAGCTTATAATATTGTATAATAAAAATATATAAATTCCAAAAAATATGTAGGATATTCTTTTCCATTAGCTAATACTTATTTTGATAATTGTGTTTTTTTTTAACTGTCATAACATCCTTACTGGATTTGCACATAGTCTTACAGCATTCAATTAGTCTATCATTATTTAAATTCAATATTAATTGGTCAGCTGCAGCAGCTGACCAACTGAGCAGCAATAACAAGAAATTGCTGCCATAAATAAAACACACATCATCCATAGACTTGAATTCGAAAAGAACTAACTCAGGACGAAGGCAGCTGAACAAATGTATTGCGAATTGCTTCAAGCAAAATGCTTGCAATAGCAAATACAAAACCAACAAACAGGGAAAACCAAGACACAGAACTATTATATTTGCTTGAAGGAAGAGTAACATAAAACAAAGTACCAATAAATCTGGTTGAATCTGCTTCCGTCTGGTTGAGGGGTGTTTAAGGACAGACTGCAAAAGGTCTGCAATAAATACTAAATATTATTTAATAAACGTAGCTAAAGTTCAGGTGCGTGTTTTCTCATGTAAATTACAACAACAACAAATCACGCATACGCCCTGTTTGTTGACCCGCCGTTTGAACTAATCCAGCCATATAATTTTTAAACTTTTTTTTTTTATATAAAAATATAATATGTGTTGGTCGCATGATGTATTGACAGATCATTTATCTATCTATCTATCTATTTCTCTCAAAGTATATACATATATATGTATTTATATGCAATACATTTGGCTCTCACTTATTGTTAGCATAAATAACCTTCTTCCCCACCATGTTAAGCAATGCTTTAAGTTTGACAGTTTGCTCAACTGATTGATGAATTGTTATTGATATTGACTGGTTGATGGAGTCACATGTGTGCAACTTAGTTAAATAAAATCTTTGGACATGTATTGTATGATTTTTAATGCATACACATCGATATATACAATTATATATATAGCGTAAGATTGTATAAAAATATCAAAAGCAAAAACCTGTTAAATCAATTCTAGTTTTTCGCATTTTGTTATATCACTCTTTTAATATACTTATAATTAACAATATGCTAGCTGTATTTGAGGCATGTTCAAAAACAAAAAAAAAATAAACAACAACAATGCAACTTAACCATGAGAAATGCAATTGATAATGAATTAGTTATATGTATATGTATACATATAAATATTTTATAACTTGTATACATATTGCAATGTACCTTATATACTAAGCAATTTTTTGGTGTTGGTCGTTTGGTTAATTGCCTGACCGTCTGCCTATCGTAGTCATTGTGTCACTTACACTCTCTCACACACTCACACATACGCCTGATATGTATGTGTATGTTAATACATATACATATATATATATATTTATATATGTATATGTATATATATATATAAATGAATGCGCCTGTGATGGCAACTAAACGCAAATCCTTGTTGTTTCCCGCAAATTTATCACAGACAAATCTGTCAACACAACAACAAACACAACAGACACAGTACAATGGCAGCATCAGCAATGGAACCGCAGTCAAGAAAACAAAAAACTAAGGGACAACTCGAGAGCAATGCAAACAATTGAAATATACGTACGCCATGAGTTTGGTTTCGGTTTCATGCTTGCTCTGGGTTTCTGCAGCTTAAGTTTTATTTTTTGATGCCTTTGGAGCTGACCAGCTCCTTCATTAGGCAAAAGTTGCTACTTAGTCATAAAAAATCCACGTTGTTGGTCGCCATTCATTGCAGCTATCGCATTATAAATCCCAGCACATATTTTATATTGTTGTGCAGCGTAACAATTCTCCATTTATTTCCTGGCAAGGCGAATTTGTTGTCTAGTGTTATAATTTTTTTAATTCATTTGTACAATTGAGTTGATGAAAATATCTGGGCAGCCTTCTAGCTAAATTATATTAATTAAAAAATTAAAACTTATGTAGAATACTGGCATTTAGAATTTACACTTTTATTTTAAAGTTTCGTTTTTTACATAATTATGAATATGTCCGACAAAACAAAAGTATTTAGTCCTAAGTTAGTTTGTGTATATCAAATATGCATCACTTAACACCAATGCGACTAACCAACTGAAGAACTTCAACCGGATACCACAGAAAGTAAAATTCAACTCGCATAATAAAATGGCAACACCTTTCGCATTCATGTTGAAGCATTTGGCTTAAATTCCTTTTTCGTTGCCTTTTGTATGTTATTCTTTTGATTTTGAGTGAAGGAAAAAGTTGATATGCTCTGTTAATTAAGTGAGCAATGTATTTTAGATTCGACAGCTCAAAAATTTGGCTGTCAAATAAAAATGTCCGAATCGCAGTTTAAAGGTCACAAACCTCACGTTTTTCCAAACAGAAAATCATTCATATTTAAACATGTTTTCTTTAAAGCACCACTTTAAGCCCATGAGCAGAGTATCCTGCAGTCGTTCTCACTTGTCTCTTTTGCTGTTTCGTAATGTATGCAAAAATGTTTGATGCGGCATCAAAATGCGAGCGACCTTTTTGCTGGCGTCGCGTGCCTTACAAAGGCATTTTATAAACTAAAAAGCGTTAAATGTCATTTAGGGTAACCCAATCCCAATCCCAAGTTGTAATACCTGAACGCCCCCGTCCATTTTCAGGCCCGAGCTACGTTATCGTTAGCCATTTATACGGCTAAAGTTTTTCACGCTATTTCACTTTGCCCCACCAACCGCCATCTGAATCCAAAGAAAATAATGAAAATGTGCTCTAAACATGCAATCGGAATCGTACAGTGAATACCCTGCTCTGATATGCATATGTGTTCACAAAAAGAATTTACTTAGATTTATGTGTCAACAATGCGCATTTAATACGAATGCCGAACGAAACCCAAAATTAAGTTGGCGTCATTTATATTGCCTACTTTATGGGGCGTGTGTGTGTTACGGGCGGTTCGAATTTATTTGCTATTGTTATTATTGCATTTGCCAGTGCATTTTGATCGTGTGCGTAAATTGACAATAATATGAAATTATTCAAACCCAGAAATAGACTGAGAGAGACAGAGGGGATGGGTCTGAGGCTGACTCTGTGGGATGTGCTTGGGCATGGCCTGGTTAGCTGACAACAATGCCAATAGGCAACATGCCACTGTGCATATTCAGTTTTAATAATGCAAAAATACAAATGCAAACACATCCGCAGGGTCGTCGCTGGGATTTGGTTGCAGTAAGGGGAATTGCAGTACTTGCGCGACAGTTTTATTGCATAAGTCAACAAAAGTCTGTGCCACAAATGTGCCATTCCATGGGTTCGACAGTCTGTCCGCTTGTCTGTCGAACTGTGTGTGCTTTGTAACTTTTTTATTGGGTCACCCACACACACACACACTCAGACAGCTGCACTGTGCAGTGCATAACGTGTGTTTGGGTGTGTGTGACTGCCAGTCTACAAACCACTTGAAAATTGTATTTTCATTTCAATTGTTTATTTATTGCGGCACTTGTTCGCATTCGATTTTCCATGTGGCAGCTGCAGTAACCACAAAAACATCGACAAGTACGAACATTTCTACATTTCACCAATTTATAATAATGCATTTTTAGTAAAGCATTTCAACAGTTACCAAAGCAGGTGTTAACAAATGTTTGCCAATAATATAGTAAATGCAGTCGAATTAAAATTTTAAAATAAAATTTATGGGGATTAATAAATAAAGTACAAAAATACTGGGACTAAGTTGTATGGGCTGGAAAAAGTGAAAAGCTACTGTAATAATATGGTCAACGTTGTGAACATGAAGGTTATAAGTAAATGAATATTGGGTAAATAACTAAATATATCCTTACTAATATTTCATTTATGATCTGTACTACAACATGGACTAGTAGAAGACAGCCTGTGCCTAGTTCAGAAATTCCTTTTAGTCAGGTATTCTTAATTCACAAATGGTAACAGACGGGCTCTAATTTAATTTAATTTATCATGTGTGCTTAAATTGAAAAGTAAAATTCCGCCCGTAACTTGTGGAAAACTGTTGAATGCAACTCCTTCATTTTTCATGCGATCCGTTTAATTTTCAAAGATCTCTGTGAGAATCCATTAGATAAATGAGATTTATTTTAAGAATATCCGAAGTGCCTGGCGCAATTTACTAATTAATTTGTTCAATCTATTCTTTTTTCTCTTTTCTGCCACAGTCCACAGTATTGATTGCCAGTGAGGCAGCGGAAGCACAGCAGAACTCTGCGTTGCCACATGCTGGTGGTGGTGGTGGCGGTACCGGAGGTGGCGGTGGCGGCGGTGCCATGCCCAGCTCACCGCTCAGCAGCTCACCGTCCAGCGTTATAGTCGCCTCGACAGCAGCCACACTGAATGGCAACAGCAACAGCAATAGCATCCCCAACGATGGCAACGTATCGGGCAACACATCACCCATTGCTAGCGGCGAGCCGCTGCTGCAAACGCCACCAGCAGCACAGCAACAACAGCAACAACAACAGCAACAACAACAACAACAGCAACAACAACAGCAGCAACAACAACTGCAACAACAACAACAGCTCAATTTAAGCAGCAGTCCCACAGCAGCAACTTCAGTGACCGCCAGCTCCATAGCCTCGGGCACCTTGGCCGCAACGAGCAGCAGCATGTCCACAGGACTATTGCCCACCGCCGGACTGGATAGTAATCCCAATTGTGGTGTGCCCGCAAGCACTTCTCAGGTGATTGCGCATCTAAACGCAGTCAGTGGCATTATGACAGCGGCCGTGCAGTCACCCAATGTGGTCACTAGTCTAAGCAGCGCTCTAGTCCCGGCACAGTCGGTCTCCTCATCGGTGGCTGCCGCCGTAGCCGCCGCTGCCTCGTTGGATGCCAAAAGTCAGCCGAAACGCTTACACGTCTCCAATATACCGTTTCGCTTCCGGGATCCCGATCTGCGTGCCATGTTTGGGGTAGGTCCGCTGCAGCAGTCGCAACAATTTCCCATGCTAACCTACTTATTATTTGCCTGCAGCAATTTGGCAACATTTTGGACGTGGAAATCATCTTCAATGAACGTGGCAGCAAGGTAAGTTCCCATTATGTACCCCTTTCCTGTTGCACGATTCATTTAAATTATGCACAGGGCAAGCACTTGAGGGGCATACTCAAGTCAAGTGAAGTCCTTTGTCCAGGGACGGCAACGTCACAACGTTGCCAGAACTACCTTGAATCATTGTGTTCCGGCTAAAAATATCACTTGGACGTCTTTTTCCTGTTTAGCAACAGCAGTAACAAAAAAAAAAAAAATAAAAAAAGCATAAAATCAGAATGTCCTTTGCAGTATTCTCCTGCCAACCGCCTCCCACTGATATAATTGCATAGTAACAGGCGCTGTTGCTATACGACATGAAAAATGTGCATAATTTAAGGTGCTGACGCATGTCCCAAGATGCTGAGCCCCGCATGTCCTTGGCCCTCACTGTCTCCCCAATGCTCAGTCTGTTTGTGTGTATATTGTAGCTTAGCATTATGACTTGGTACAGACCTTGTTTTATATCGTAATTTATATGCTATATACTCTACCTAAATATATGTATATATATATATATTTATATATACATATATATTCTTATATACTCTATATGTTTTTTTAATTGCATGTTTGATTGCGAATGGCAGGGATTCGGTTTTGTAACATTCGCTAACAGCAACGATGCAGAACGAGCACGCGAACGTCTACACGGCACCGTGGTTGAGGGACGCAAAATCGAGGTGGGTGCATGCAAGCTATACCATAAAGCACACACACCATCCACACACACACACACACACACACACACACACACTCACACATATTCATAGTTGCATACAGCCCGTTCACATGGGAAGCTATTATTTAAAACTAATTGCAAAACTATAACAAGTTTCTCATTTGCCACTAAAAAATAAATTTGGTTAAGAATAGAATTCCCTTAGAGGGAAAAAGGCTTTCGACTTGCGTATCTTGAAACTTTTTCACGTGTTTTCGCGTTGCAAAAACCGATTTTTAAATTCCGAATGCTCTGATTGTGCTTTTGGCAATGCGAAACGCATTTAAAATCGGACACACGCATGGTCAGCGCATTTTGATTTCGAGTTTTAATCGAACGCTCATTAATTTTAAAATTATTCGCCGCCTTTTTTATTTGCCTTTAATTAAAAATTAATTACTTTTTTCCCATTTTGCATTTCCTTGCAAATGTCTGTCTGCGCTTACCAATTTCTGTATTTATGTTGAGTGGATAGCCGCAAATAATTGGCATTTAAAATATGCTGAAAATGTGCAAAGTGGCAACTGATATTTAAACAATTTAACTGCAGGTTGCAAAAGACGGCAGTGATAATTCATTTTATTTGCAGCGCAAGCGAAAAATAACGAAAGCTGGCTAATTATGTGAAATGCGCCAAAGCGTTGCATATGTATAGGTTAATTAATATTAAAGATCCTAGAAGCAAAACTCATTTTGGAAGCAGGTTTTAGCTGTTTAAATTGAATGCCTATACATTTGCCTTAATAGCTTTTAAAGATGCTTTAACACTCTCACAGATACACACACACACACACACATACACCTCATTCAATTGTAATTGTCAACTAACACATAATTTATTTTCACGTTCTTTGTACATGCGATATGCGATTAAAAAATAATTTTCAAAAAATATAATGCTATATAATGAATACATTATATTAAAACCAAAATTAAAAAAAAAAAACATCACAAAAACCAACCACCAACCGCTCGCTGCAACTCAACTCAACTCAACTCTACTCGTTACTCGAACTCTCTCTCGTTACCAATAACCATTGTGAAGGTGAATAACGCCACTGCACGTGTACAAACCAAAAAAGTGACAGCAGTACCCAACGGTAAGTTGCTCTAACGTACACACACAAACACAATATACACCTGCTTATACACACACACACACGCACACATACACATATAACACCCATGTATAAGCTATGTAGCGAAACAAGTTTAAATGTTCAACAAAGAAATGCAATTACGTCTGGCCTAGAAGAACTATAAGAAATGAGAAGCACGCAAACGGCAACTTAAATAACAGCAACAACAACAACAACAACAATAAAAAACTTTAACACAACTGCCATAATATTTGACTGGCCGTTGCCGTTGTTGTGTTTGGCGTTGCCGTACTTTTCGTTGATTTCTTTTTTCTAAAATTTATTTATTTTTCTTTTCGTTTTTTGCCCGTTGAACTTTTCACATAAACTTCTGCGGTTTCTGCTAAAATGTTAGTTCCTGAACCGAAATGTTTCTTAATGAAAATGTTTGGTCTTGGAAATTTCTTATTGCTTTTGATTTAATTTGAAGAACTTGTTAATAAAGCGTATACGGAGGCGTTTGGCAATCAAAAACTTGTTAACTGTGTTGTGCCACAACTAACAACTTCTACCAAAATTGCGGCTTCTAACAAAACAATGTATACCATAAAGCACCCACTCACACACACATACGTGAAAAAGTATTCGCTAAATTCGGCTTTGTATGTTCTGTTATTTTGAGTTATGGTTAAAAATGTCTGCATTTGAATTTCCTATAACAAACCGATTACTGTTAATTGAATACACATCCTGATAATTACAAAATAAAAAATAAAAAAATATTTTTTATTTACTTTGTTTTCTCTTACACACCACCACACAGTTGTACTGACCAAAGACGGTGCCCTACCGGCTCCAGCTCTAGGTGAGCAAATTAGAGAACAAATAAAAATGAAAAATTGCATTTATTATATATGTCTTGTTGTGCCTTGCTTGCCAAAATATGAATAATAATTATAATAAATAACCCACTCAATGTTGTCCATAAACGTAGGCACTTAATAAAGTGCCAGCATAACCCTTAACTATAGCACCCAACTCTATAGTCAACAATGTCCTGGCATGTTGCACGCTAACAGTGGCATGGTATGAATCCCAATATTGGCTAAATAACTCTAAATCAACTGTTAAACGATATAATCTAAGCATATGCATTGACACTCATAGTCCCAGCATGAATACTGTCCACCATATCCATGTTTTCTATGATTATAAACTTTCAGTATGTACTTAATTAGATAAAGCTGCAACTGTGAAAAATATGTTCAACTTATCGATGTTTATAGTTGACAGAGAGAGAGAGACAGGCATTAAATTCAAAAACGATATATCATGTTTATCTGTAGGCTGACTAGATCTGTAAAACACATAAACTTTGGTCTTGTCGTGTGGTTTCTTATGGGAAGTTTTGTCAGCTAGAAGTTCTCAGATGCTTAATGTTTCGTTTGCACTGCGCACAATTTCATTTGAAGTTGCGGTTGCTTAAAAGTTTGCTCTCTTACATAAAGAAAAAAAGAGAAGAAGAAGAAGCAAAAATATAAAACAGCAGCAAGAAAGTTTCCATGCCATGTATAATAAATAATGCTGCTGATTAAATCGCCCTTCCATGCAAGTTGCCATTAAAAAGTATTCACAGTGCAAAATCTATACTTTAGTTTCGCTCAAATACGATAAGCCGCTTACCAGCCCAAACTCAACCTAAACCCCACCTAAACCCAACCAAACCCAAGCAAACAAAACTGAACTGAATTGAGCCAGCAAAAGGGAAGCAGCTGAAATGTAGCCAGCAGCTGGCACCACGGAGTTTTTGCCTTCACGTGGACAGGACATGCAAAATGCTTTTGTATCGCCAACAAACTTAGATGCAGACAAACCGACAGGCGAACGTACAGATAGGAGATCAGATGCTGCACATGCGGCTGAGTCTGCTGGCTGCGTCTTTGGCTATAGTTGCCTTTGCCGTGGCTTGGCTTTTCCTGCCTTGCCCGTCCCGGCAACATTTCTACTCCTGTGCACTGTTCGCCACGTGCACGTAATGCGCTTCATTTGCGTTGCACTAAATGCGAGCTGTGTGTCTGCTGGGACACCCAGCTATTTATGCGGCTGCCAGCATATTATAGAAATAGACAGACAAACCAAAAGGTGCTTGGTCAGACGGAAGAGGAAAGACAAGTGGCAGGAGCCACTTACTTTATCACGTTTCGAACTGGCTTCACTTGCCAGGCAAACGGCTGGCAGCATTAGCACCAACAAGAACGAGAGCAGGAGCTCGTTACGGTGCATGCAGGCGAGGCGGGCGGTCAGGATAATTACAAAAAAAGAAGCCACAATGTTGCAAGCATGTTGCGGCACACACATAAATTGCAGTAGCAAAAAATCAAAAACTTTCCTCCAACTCCTGTTGCCTCGTACTTCCTTTGGCCGTTGCAAAACCATTTTAGTTTTGATCCTTTGGTTGTGTCTTATGCAAATGTCTTCCATTCGCACACATTTTAAAGAAAGTTTGCCTTCTACTTTGTATGTTGACTTCCCTCACACACATGTACATATGTTATGCATATATGTAAATATGTTTCTTTCTGTTTTATTTCTCGTTGATCCTTTGACATGTTAAACTTAATGCGCTCAACCAGCAGGAACAACATTTCTGACTGCCTGCTCGTCTATTTGACATTTATTTAACTGCATTTTTCGATTTGTCGCTAGTTGTAAATCCCTCCCTTTGTATTTGCTTAGAGTCGATTGTTTAGTCAGCATTTGAGCTTATTTGTTATTTCGCTAGCAATTTGTTTCATTGTGAAACGTTTCACATTTTCAATTGCATCATTTGTGAGCATCTTAAATGCATAATACAGCATTGAGACAAAAAATGTCAGTTTATTTGCGACAAAAACAAAACAGCATGCAACGCTCTAAAACAAACTCAAAACGAGGTTTAATTTTGATTAAATATAAACAAATTTGGCTAAACCAATTGGCTTTAAATGCGAATTTCGCCTAGTTTCGTTTAACTTGAAGCTGAAAGCGTTTTTTGACTATAGCAAAATAATATAAAATATGCATATAAATAAATGTTTGTCAAATTCAAATAAAAATGCATGTTCTGTGCTGCAACAAACCCCAAACAGTATATAAAAAAAAATTGAAGAAATATTTAAACTACACCGCAACTGCATTAGCACGGCCCAAACTTGTAAATGTAATTGAGCTGCGTGTCATGTATATAAAATCAAAAGTTTTATTTAAATAAATAAAATCACAATTTAAATATAAAACTAATTCAAAGTTTTCTCTTGATTTTTCCATGCTCCACAAAATCAAAAAAAAAAATGCTGCAACTATAAAAAACTACAATTTATATAAATCAACCGGCTGCAGTTTGCGTACAATGGCCTGAAGGTAAGCGTTCCGTCACGTTTTATTTGTACTATTTATTGCTGTATTTGTATTTTGTATTTATTGCTTGCCGTATTTTGTTATAAAGTCTAAAATAACACAAACAATTTGAACAGACACACCTACATACACACACACACACACAAATATACAGTAAAAATAAGTTATCTTTAATGTATACGAGAGAGACCCGTTCAGTTTTTAACATAAGTATAAGCCGTGGCATATTTTTTAGAGTGTAAGCGACAAAAAACATAAATACATACATAACTAAATGACAACCCCATAAGAAAACTATGTTAGGCAGTTCGACATGTAAAGCATTTATATATGTAAGCGCTGGGATTTTTGACAGTACGAGATATCATTTGAAATGCTCATTATTCAATGTTTACCTAACTAAAAACTTAATAGATTTTTCATTTTTTATTGTTAGGCTCCGCGTTAAACTGTATGCATATATTATACTCGTAAACCTACATACTTTTTGCAATACTAAATATTTGATGACTGTTTGTAATTGTACTCTATTTTTTTTTTTATTGAGTCATTTACTTTTGCATATAACCCAAACTTTGGAAAAAAGAATTGAACCAAAAAAAATAGAAAACAAAACACGAATGAAAAATAAAAACAAAATTTGATGCATTGAAATAAAAAAAAGAAACAAAAACAAAAAAATCGTTACTTACCGCTCGCAAACCCATTCAGAATCAGGCGCGTCACCATTTTCTTTCTAGTCTTAATGATGCTGATGATCCTGTGATCATCTAATAATGGTTATGAATTTTAGCATATTGCGGCTGTGTTGTCTTATGCATACTACTTAACTACTATATATAAATATACTCTTAATAAATATATAAATATATATATTTACTATATATCTATATACATATGAACAATGAATATAATTTTGTTTGAAACATTTCTTTTAACCAGTTTTGTTGTATGTGCGTTTTGTTTTTATGTCCTGAGTTCGTTTTACGTTTTATATATTTTGGTCTGGTTCTTTGATCTGAACATTGTCGGAAATGCTCCTTAGCATAATTACTTATTACTTAAGTCAACACACAGACACCAACACACACACACAGACACATTCCCACGCAACTACAAACACGAATGTATGTAAATGTTAACTTTCGTCGCGTTCCAAGCAGCTTAACTTAGCACTAGACCTAAGCTATACCACAAAAACCAAACCAAGCCGAACCAATAGAACGTCAATCATTGCATCCCAGAATTCGATATGTAAATACAACACACAGCCATACGCACACCCGTATATATACTTATATATACACATACACACAGACAGACACATATTCAGCTCATCCACTGATCCATCGAATGATACAAACAATTTTAACAAAATTTATGAACGTGTATCGAACCTTAAGGTTATCGGCTGCCCATGGCCGCCACGTGGCCATTTCTGGGTGCGCCAGTTGGGGCCGGAGCGCCGACGCTGACACCGATGACGCTGCAGATGCCACTGCAGATGGCACAAGCGGCGTCAGTGGCACCAGCGGCGCACAGTGCACCCACGCCCACAGCTACTCCAACAGCCACGCCCATTGTGTTAGCGCAACGCCATCCAGCACACAGTGCAATGCCAGCAGGTGTGACGGCACAAACTGCAGCAGCAACGACACGGCGGAGGTACATTGAAAATTCTGGATTGAATTTGTTTGAGTGTATGCGCCAAAAAAAGCAGAATTCAAAAATTAAGTAAACTCGCTGACTCACACAAAAGACAGACCAACACATACAGATACCCGAAGAGGCATACCCATACACACACGCACACATACACAAAGGCATAACTACAAACACCAAGTCACAAACTCTTAGTTTTGAGATCTGTACCATATACTTACTCTACATACATATATACACATATATATTTGTTATCTTGTTAATTTGGTTACGCATTTGGGTTTGACTGTATGCCAAGTACTATATATTGCATACCTTTTGGCGCCCTTGAGATTGCATTGTTCTACGGCTAGGCACACACAAGCAAACACAAGTCCACGAACCCAAGAACCAAAAAATCAGTCAATCAATCAATCAATCAATCAATCAACCAACTAGTGGCAACCTCACATGACAACTGTAATTAGAATTTAAGTATGGAAAGGTTCTTAGCTTTAACCATAGTGTACCTACTATATATCGTAATTTATAACGTACCCTATATCGTGTGACGGTAGACAATTTTTGCGCAGCAAGCATATTAAAAAGGCATTTCTTCTAGATCATTAGTTTTTTAGCAAATCTTGTACTCTTTATCTCTCACTGTCTCAATCTTTCTCTCTGTTTATATATTTCTCTATTGTTTCATATACTCTTGCTATGTTTTTACTTACTTTGCAATTGTGCACGTTTTACTTTTTCTGTTTTCATTGCCAAAAATGCAATTTTTTAAAAAATTAAATGGAATTGGATAATGCAATTAAGTAAAATAAGATTGCTTCGATAATGAATTATTGCCAAGTTACGAAGACAATACGTTTCTACAGTTTTTTGCATGCTACAAAACGATAAGACCAGAAGTTATACTCTTTAATTGCTTGGCTCTAATGCTTTTTCATTTGTAAATAGCAAAAATCGAAATTAACTTTGATAATTGAAATTAAAAATGGCCTTTACATTGTTGAAAATCGAAACATTTTGTGCTCTGTCCAGATTTTAATTTGCATTCGAATAGTCAAATCGAATTAAATAGCAAAATAAATTTGTAATTTGTTTTTGGGCTAATAAATTTCATTAATAATAATAGATGTGTTGAATTTTCAAAGAGAACTGTACAAAAGTTACCGCAATTGCAGCTGAGGTCTCCAATTATTTTCGCTTTTGTCCTGGTTATTGCGGCCAGTCCCAATTGTTTAAAATGAGTAACAAATGTATTTTTAATTGCGTGCCAAGCCGCAAGGGCATTATCGATGTTTGACATATTATAAAATTTAACAGATTTTAAAGCATTTCATGCTGCTTATGTATTACTTTAATGTAGAGCTTGTTAAAGACAACGTTTTTACTCTAGATTATCTGAGCACAGTAATTGCCGTTGCAATAGATCGCAAGAATCATATATTTGTTTGTTATCTGTAAACTTTGTTCCATTTATATAGTTTTTAGTAAATGTGTTTAAATAGTTTTGATTTTATTCTAGGGTTAAAGGGCTTAAATATACCAACGTTAGTTAAATCGTACAACTTTCTATATAAACGTTATGAATATATATTTTCTTATGCTTTGTAAACGAAAACCTCTTAAAATACTTTGACCAAAATTAAATGCAATAAGTTGTAACAAAACAAAATGTCTTGCCGCATACACACGTAAATACAAATTCTATATATGTTTTTAATCTAAACTGCAGAACGGTCAAATGTTTTTGGTATTGTTAATGAATGGTCATATTAAATCGTATATATATATAAAACATACACCTCAAACAAAAACAAAAAACAAACAACTGCGTAGCATTTCTTGGTAATTCAATGTTATAATGTTAAGTATGTTTCAAACTGAATACCCCTTTAAATGACTGACTTCACGTATGTCTTATGTATTGTTATATGTATATACCGAAATCATTTCAATTCTCAATCGATACCTAAACTATATACATCCAAACAGTTACTACATATTGCCTAGTATTTGCTAAACATATACTATATGCTATATACTATATATATATAAATTATATAAATTTAATTATATAAAGAGAGAGAAACTAACCGCATGCATTTTATGTTCTTTTCTTTTCCTTTTTTCTACTTTTTGCACACGAACACAAACAAACGAACAAACACACAAATACACACGAAACATATATAAAATGTAATGCGTGTGTACAAACACTCACACACAACACACACACACACACACACACACACACACACACACACACACACACACACACACATACACACACATACACACACACACACACACACACACTGGTAAAAATGTTGTGTACAAATCGTTGCAAAAATATCAATCAAAAATCAAAATCCAAAAACAAAAAAATCGTTTGGCCGCCTCACAGCCGCCGTAGCCGCCGCCGCTGCCATGCGTGGAGTTGCCATACAACGTGGACACGTGGGCGTGGTCGGTGCCACACCCTTCCATCATCCCCATCATCCGCACCATCATCAGGCGCTGGTTGCCGCCGCTCAGCAGCAACAGCAACGTCAAGTGGCCGCCGCTGCCGTGGCCGCAGCAGCCGCCCAACAGCAGCAGCACCAGCAACAACAGCAACAGCAGCATCAGCAGCAGCAGCAACAACAACAGCAACAACAACAACAGCAGCAACAACAGCAACAACATGCCGCAGTAGCCGCTGCCGCCGCTGCCCAGCACTCACAACACGCCGCTGCCGCCGCCGCCGCCGCCGCTCACACACATCCGCATGCACATGCGCATGCTCTCGCCCCCCAGCTAGCCCAGCTGCAGCCGACGCTCCAGGCGGTCGCCGTGCCCACTGCCGCTGGTAGTGCTGCGGCTGCTGCCGCTCAGCAACACTCGGCGCTGCAGCAATCGCTGGCAGCTGCCGCAGCTGCACAAAATTCGGGCGTCGCAGGTAATGCGAACGCTGCTGCCGCCGCTGCGTATGCGGCACGTCTCTCCGCTGCCACGGCTTCCCAAACGCCGGCCGCTGCTGCTGCGGCTGCTGCTTCCATGGCAGCGTCGGCTAATGCGGCCAACAGCGCTTTGCATGGATTTGCGCCGTAAGTAGAGTTCACTCCACGTTGCCCCAAAATCGTCGCCGTCGCAAAAATCGCCATTAAAGAAAAGAAAAAAATACTTCCATGTAGCTCTAGTTGTATATTGTTTTCCTTATTTTTTTTTTCATTTAGTTAAATAATCTCTTATATATTGAATGTAGTTTTAGCGCACTTACTTTTTGTTTATGTGGTGTCTACGCTCGCTCTCAAACGCTTACTCAAATCTACAACTGCAGCAACAACAGCAGCAGCAGCAGCAAGAACAACTGGCTCACAGAATTGCATGCAACCAAATATTACGCATACGCCACGTTGTGCCAGCTGCTGCTGATGGTGTTACTGTTAGACACGATCTGTCATCATTTTACACAACTTAACTTTTCCCAAATCCCCATAATATTAACCTTATCCCACATCCCAGCCATCTCCAACTTCGAGCGCAAATTGTTTATAGCTTTAACGTTGTTATTTGTCTCTCAATTTTTGGTCTATGCGGTGATTTTCATTAAATATTTAGCTACCTTGTGTGTGTAACGTTTTTATAAGTATATTCAAAAAAATATATATATGCATAGCGCCACATTTGCCTAATGTACCATCTAATTCAACCGCAAGTTTAGACTTGTCTCTTGTATAAAGTCAACTAAAACAACAACAGCTACAAAAGCAGCAACCAATTAACGCACGCCAACTACTACATAAACTATTTAAAATAAAACATATATATATAACAAATATATATATATATATAGATATACAACTATATATTCTTGACTGAGAGAAGTTTTTTGGCATCGTTTAATATATTCGTATAATTATTTGATTATTTTGGTTAAAGGGAACTACGTATTTGTATATTGTGTACCACTAGGCGTATGATGAATTTGAAATTGAATTGAATTACAAATGTTTTTGATGCGTCTGCTGCTGCTGCCGCGCATGTTTCCTCTATATCTCAATAATTATTAATATTATTATTTCTAAATACACCCGTTCTATTTTTTTTTTTTTTTTGTTCTTTCTGTGGCTGCTGTTCTAATAAACTAAATAATAGCGTATGAATGATGAACGATGATAATGCTATACCATTATATATGAATTCTACCCAACTAATTAGCTAGGTGCATGAATGTCTGTTCTGTCTATTAAAATGCAGAGGTCGAACAACAAGTGTTTTTTGTAGTATCGGGCAATTGTAATGTGTACTCGTACTTACCATATATGGTTGATTATCCTTGCTAGTGTTCTACTTATAATTTACAAATGCATTTGCATAACCTAAAAATCACCTCGTCATCTATTAGGGATAAAGCAAACAAAGTGCTCATAATATAAGGTTTATTGCTAGGTGTTAGGATTTTAGGTGGGAACTTGGTTTCTGTGAGGATACGAATAGGGCTTAATTTCCTTTTTAGTTACACCTTTAGTTTCAGCCATTATACCCAATGCACCCGGTACCAAAAAAAAAAAAAAAAAAAAAAAAGTAAACAGACAAAGGTAAAGGCAAAGTTTTCGCAATAAATTAAAAATTATATCATACAGTGATATGAAGCGCCAAAACTATGTAATTACCTTCTGCCCATAACGCCCAAACAAAAACCCACACACAAGTGCGTTAAAAAATTAAAAATAAAAATAAAAATAATAATATAATATATATAAATATTTTTGAATTTTGCTTTTAAGTGCTATCCAAATGAAAGTTGAGTCAGACCAAATGAAGAACAATATTTATTGGAAATGTTCTAGTGTTGATCCGGCTCGGCTGACATTAAAACCAATTGTAACGAGTGCCCAAGTGAGTTATTAATCTTGAAATCTGTCTTATCCTTCTTCTTAAACACACACAGCGTATACTATGATCCCTTCTTAGCAGCCGCTGCTTCCGCTGATCCAAATCTACGCTTCCAGGTAAGTCTATCAAAATTGTACACCATAATATTTTTTGTTAAGACAATCATTTAGTTATAGAGTTATGTGTATTATATGTTAAGCTATGTTAAGAACTAATTTAAAGCTGGCTAGCTAAACTAAACAATTTTCGTTTTTAAAATATATATACATATATATATTATATATAAATTTTACAGGCAGCCAAACCGGTCACTGAAGTTCCAGCCGCACAGCCAGCCGCCATATTAAATGTAATGAAATCTTTTCAAATTGATACGCTAAACGTAAAGCATAAAAAAAAAATCGTTTTGAGAACGCTCTCTCAACTATAATATTTATTATACACTCGTACATACACATTTATTTACACATTAACTTTCAATTGAACTTGTGAAAGACACCAATAATTGTCTTGGTTTTTGAGCAGAACATTCCTTTATATACATATGTTTGTAAAATTATTTTTCACTCCTTTTGTTATTATTTTTTCGTTCCATATTATTATTGCATAAAACACTAACGACGCGTTTGAAGACACACTTCTTTCTTTACGTACCCACACATTGGGATTGGTGTTTTTCTATTGTTTAGTTTTCTTTGGTAACTGGTCGTGCAACTAAGTCTGTAAAATTATGGCATATATAAAAGCGTGTATACTACATATAAATCACAACACCACAAACAAGAAATATATATATTATAAATTCGAATTAGGGCCCAGTGCTGAGCGTCATTAACAAATTTTCATACATAAATAATTGCTTTTATGTATTTAAATACTCGTATTTATGTATATTACCATTGTGTTTGAACACTTACGTCTATTTCTACTTACTTATAAAGCGATTACATATTTGCATCCTTAATTGATTTTGTTAACACATTTTTATAACTATCTAAGTATATTCAAACTACACGCGTAGTCTCCAAGAGAAATACAAACAAACAACAAATGCTTTGTTAGCGGCAACTTAAAGACGCATAGCATACTTTCAGGCTGCATGCCGCTCTTCCTCTCTCTCTATCTTTCTCTCTCTCTATCCATCTGTCTCTGTCACTTTGAATTATGATTTGAAAACGAAAGAACTTGAAATATTATTTTCTCTTGTTTTTTATTACATTTCGATACAGAAATGACATATTTCACGCAAGTTATAGTTTGATTTGAATTTTGCTTTTTCAATCTATATATATATATATATATATATATATATATATATATATATATATATATTAGACTCATCTCTTTAATTAAATCTAAACTTAAGTAGCATATAAATAAATATTCTTCAATGCTGTAAACATTTTCGTAATTACTAAGTATGTATTCTTTTTTGGTTACTTCTTTCACGACTGTTACAACATACGCAACAACAACAACAATAACAACAACAACAACAACTGCATCAAATATCGTTACAACATTATCAAAACCAAAATTTATACCAAAAATTATACCAAATATATCGAAAAACTTACAGCGCCGCACTGTGACTACGCTAAACAGTACCCCACATACGATCAACCGCATTCCGGTACCACAGAATGTTTTGGTAAAAATAATCATTTTTAGCTAGCAAATTAGAAAATTCCAATCAAATAATTTATTTAAATCCATTAGAGAATTATTGTTTGTTGTGCCCAATTTTGAGTTTTGATTATATGTATGTGTATTGTTGTTTTTTTTCTGTTTTTCATGGGACTGCGCTTTATGTCTTGCCCCACACCTAAGTTATGATCTGAATACTAGCCATAATCAATATGATATAAGTTCTTTGAATTCCCTGCACTTTTGGCGCTTTGTTTGTAGCATTTAAAAATTACGTATATCCATAAGATTATTGGCATCTTGGGCTTATAGCTTGAATTCGCTGATCACCACCTTAAATATTAGATTTATATCTATTTATATATTATAACCAAAAAATCGCACTGATATAATTTGTTTGCACTCCTCTTCTTTAATTTTTTTTTTTTTTTGTTGTGGTTTAGGTTCTTAACTCTTTTTGCCATTTTGCTCTCTATCACCTGTCGCTAGTTTTGTCGTTGCCGTTGCATTTGTTCGATTTGTGCCCCACCTTTAACACACAATTTGCTTCAAATTATTCCAGGCCACTGCTCCGCTGTTAAAGACACCCCTGTCTCAGGCCCAGCAGCAGGCGTACGCCACGGCGGCTACCACCTACACGGCGGTCGCTGCCCGGGCCGCCTACGGCGCCGCTGCAGCAGCAGCCGCCCAACCAGCACTCGCTGGCTATGCCACCGTAGCGGGGTAAGTTTTCATCAAAATTTTCCATGTGCGCCACTTGCTGCCTCAGCTAAAGTTGAGCTGCTCCACATTCACAAATTCTCCACAAAACATTTGACTAAACACTAAACCTAACTCAACATATTGTGTCATATTCAACACACCGAAACATGATTTAAAATAATAAAAACATTAACTAATTTAAAGGAACTCACCAAAATTGGCTTTTAAAGCGTGTTAACCTTGGATCTTAAAACTGCGTCAATTTATGTAGTTGGGCCAAGAGAATGTATTTTGAATTTAGGATTATTAAGAACTAATTTCTTTTTAGATTTAGATTTATTTTTTCTATTTTATTAAAAGCTTAAGGTAAGGTTTTTTACAAGTAGTGTTATATGAAACGGAACTTATTTGAATAATGTATCTTTTGAGTTGATTTAAAATAATGACTTAATTTGTATTTATTATGTTATCAAATTTTTATATTATTTTGTCAATTATATTTAAAGCATTATATCCATTTTATTCATTTGCAACAATAGCCGAGTCAATCCAGCCATATCCGTCCGTAATTCCGTCGGCTCTTTTCAGAAACTGTGCTTAAGTCACCAAATCGTGACTATGAATTCTGGTATAGCAAATAACTATCTATAATAGCCCCATTTTCTGAAAATACAAGTTGGAACTCGGTTTCTTAAGCATATTTCGTGCATAATTCTAACCTGCTCTCTCGCCGTTTGTGGAAGATATAATCAAAAATTTTGATATATACTCAAAATCTGAAACATGTCCGCAATAATTTTACTCCTCGGCACCCCGAAGATAATTTTTATTGCTTAAGTGCATATACATTATATATTTTATTCAGAATATTGTATTTCTCTAGTCACGCTTTATTTCAAAGTATTTATTTCTTCATATTGACTCTTCAGTATTATTATTAGTATTCATTTCTTATTATTTTATTATATATTTTATTTAAATATTTCATTAATCATATTCAATTTTATTTTGTAATTACTTAACCCTTCACTAATCTATTTGATTTGATTCTTTTTGGTACAATTCTTAAATCATAAAATAAATTATCAAGAGTAGGAAAAGCCTAACACCGAAAACTGATGACTTACAACTAACCATTGAGAATTTTTGCAAAACTATATCGAAACTAAACCATTTTTACTAAACTAAGTTAAAAGAAACTGGGAAATACAAGAAACCATCGGCTGAGCAAGAGATGACATGTATGAAAGATCTTTAATTAGAGACTAACACTTTGGAGAATCGAGTTGAGTCGACAAGTTATGATGAAGTGACGTTTGAAGCAGAATCAAAGGTTTCACCTTATGCCAAGATCAACAACTAACAAAAAAAGCACACAAACTAAACAAACCTAACACAAGTGGAGACATCAAGAAACTATCGCATTCCTAAATCATATTTATAACAACTTATTTTCATCAAGTATTTATCTAATGAATCGCAAACGAAATATTTCTAGTTACGCGCGCGAGTATGCGGATCCTTATCTAGGACATGGAATTGGACCCGTGCCAGGCTATGGGGTAAGTGTTCTAAATACATTTCATTTGATTCTTGACAAATCCATAGGATACATATTTGATTAGATTACCTATTATAATACTTATATCAACCTTTCGCAATCTACTCCACTATCTCTTCTAAAGGCAACCCTGTATCGCGGTGGCTTCAATCGTTTTACGCCATATTAGAAAGCTTCATAAGTCAGCCAAATAACGCACTTGAACTACTCTCGAAAATGCTCAATGTATGAACAAAAATTAGACGTAAATACTCCTCCTCTACAGTGCAGTAAGTAGAAGTTAAATCTAACGCAAAACCAGATGCTCAAAAATGATCGAAAAACAAAAACAAAACAAAACCCACTCAATATATGGAGAGATGAAAATCAAAGCTAAAAGCAGCTGCAAACCTGTGGCAATTTAAGCAAAATAAAATTTAAAAAAAAAAAACTAAAATTTTTTAAACAAAAAAATCAATGTCGTCCATAAAAACAAAAAAAAAAAAAACGAAGAAAACAACAACAAAGGCAGTATACACAAAATATTTAAATGGCAATTAGTTTGCAAAACGTGCTTCATGCGTAGATTTTTACCAAAAAAAACAAAAGCTGAAATTTTGTGCGGCAGAATTTATATAAATATATATATATATATATATATATATATATATATATATATATACCAACAGGATATATAATTATTATTATTATTATACCGATAGATATTGTATTTGTATATCAAAAAGAAGAGCAATTTTAATGTATTTGCCAATTCGAAAATTAACAACCGAAAAGAAGAACATTTATTTTTTGTTCAATAGTTTTGTTAATTAAGTTAGCTTTATATCTCTATATATATTAACTAATTTGATTATTTTCTGTTTCATGTATTTGTATATCAGTGTAGTCTGTAGAAAGCAACAAGAAACAAACCCAATCGCCCGACATTGAATTGTATATTATATTTTTATATATACAAATACACAAAATTGACAAGCAAAAAACACAAAAAAAATGTTGCCAAACAAAAAACATTTTATCAGAACAGACATATGAGAAAATTTTACCTTAATTTCTTTATACATTTTTAAGTCTCCAAAGAATACTCATTTTATTATCGTCAACAATTATATTTTAAAAAAGTTTTGTTATCTGCTTTGCTTATTATTGTTCCTAGAAACCTTTTTCGGCAGCTAAAATGCATAGTCAACTCAATGAACATGATATTGCTCAACTTGTAGTGCATAAGTAAATGCAACAGATCAACACGTAGACATATCCTTGGAACATACAATAATAATTACTTTAATGCGGCCGTAGCAGCAAAAAAAAAAAAAAAAAAAAAATATATATATAAATAATGAGTATAAAATTAAAATATTAATGCATAATAGTTTTTAACTTCAAGCTTCCAGTGACAGAAAGATAGAAAGAAAACCCAGAAACGGAAACGTGAAAATTGTGTAGTAAGCATTAAAAATAAAATAAATTATTAGCTCCTACTATGTAGCACTTTCTTTGTGTGTTGTGTAAAAAACAAAAAGCTAAACAAAAATGAAGCAAAATCAGAAATGAACATTTTTCAAAAACAATTATAAAACAAATAACTTCACATCGTTTCAGTGTTGTTCATTTTGGGTCTAGACCACAAAACTTCCCTAAGCAAGCTAAGAATTTATTTTACACATACTCTATAAAGTCTAATGCACACAATTCACTTTTACAGTTGTGTATTTTCAAATGTATGTTGGAAAAACAAATCCAAAGAAATAACAAAAAAAAAAAGAAGAAATATTAAAGTAAATAATTATAAAAAAAAAAAAAAAAAAAAAATGCTCAAGAAGTAATTTGACCTCGTTCTCTATTTCGATTCTTAGACAGTTACTGTCGCAAAATTTATGCTAGTTGTTTATGAATAATATAAACAAATATACCTTTGATTCGTTTTCCTGTGTATGTAACTGTGCAATTGATCCTTCGAATTTATCCTTTTGATCAAAATCCAAAAATATTTACTATTCATTGATTATACTCCATGCGATGTTTAATTGTAGCCTGGTGATAATTCTGCAATATTGGGTTTGCTACTAAACAAATCGTTGTCTGAGATTGTAAATAATTACTTTGAATTTTCTTATGCTCACATACATTTGCACAGACATACAACGGCAACTTAAAGCAATTTATGTCATACTCAGATTTTAAATGTTTCTTTAAATATCATTACACAAATATAAATTAAAAAAAAAAACACAAAAAAAAAATAAGATTTTAAGTATAAGTACGTTGACATTTTTCAAGCCAAAGTTTATATTTAAAAATGATTTTTAGTTAGATTTAGTTTTTATGCCGATGACAGACACAAAAATAAAATAATAATACAAAATGAAACAAATCAATTCAAACCCAACAATTGCCAAATTAAATGTAGCTTTCAAGTGAATAGACACTTAATTAAAGTAACAAAAATAAAAGAAAAACGTTTAAAATAGCACAGAAATAAATACATATTATAACAACTAGAAAAACTTAATGTATATCACACTTTTTGGCAGCACACACATGAATAATTGAATAAAAAACAAATACTTTTGGGTTTGATATACAAGGCGAAATAAACCAAGTAGTTATTAAAAATTAAACATTATATAATACATACAAATGAAAAATTATAAACTCAACTTCCACCGCAATTTTTTAATACAAAAACAAAACACAGTCTTAAGCAAGGTATGAACTAAAGTCAACCTAAGTCTAAATATGTAAAATGCAAATGCAACTCAATCAAATTCTTATAAAAGATATTTTAGTTTTTATTTAACACTTGATTATCTGTGCGCCCATCCCTCTTACACACACCCAATTTTAACACCCAGTACAAGAGCAAGAATGAGAATTACGAATCTTTAAGCTGTAATCTTTAATCTGTGTAGTCTAACCATAAGCCAGCGCCGCTTTTGTTCACTTTCACATAGAGCATACGCATAGGCGTTATATAAAGTATAAATATAAACTATATATATAAATATATAATATATGAAAAAAACAAAACAAAAAAAAAAACACTTATCTTTAAAGATGTGCCAAATTGTAAGTTGTACCATTTGTTTTTATGAATGGAAAAAGCAAACAAATGCAAAACGCAAAATTAAAATAAAAACAAAAATAAAGTAAAAAAAAAGAATATATATGAATTAAAAACTCGTGAACAGATTTACCCCTCCCAAAGATGAATAAAAACATTGTTTAGATATTTCAACACTTAAATGATGATGGAAAATATTTTTTAAATTTAGCAATGTGTATAGAGACCAGAGTTGGAAGTTTAGCGTCCCTAGACGCTACCTTACAAACAAAATTGATAACAGATAACAAACTAGACGAATAGTATTATATTAGCGGACTCCCGCAACAATCACACACAGCAGCTTGCCCCCCTCTCCCAGAAGACAAAAACGTTCTGCAATACTTGTGTTCCCGCACACTTCCCCCTCCACATTGACTCATTTAATACAAACGCACACAGATACAAAACTTAAATGGCTATAAACAAGATACAAATTTAATTGAACAAAAACTATATATTGGTTTATATCAATTTTCAATTTGTAAGGTTGTGACAAATTGTAAACAAACATTAAAAATAAACTCAAAATGGGAAATCTTTAAAAACTTGCAGAAATTGTAATAATACATGCGAATTGCAAATAAAATAGCGAAAAAAAAACACATATAAAACTAAAATATAACAAAGCAAAAGAAAGGAATATTTGAGATGCATACAAACGAAAAAAAGGAAAAAATGCAATAAAAATAACTTTTAAAAATATAAAATGTATTTTAAACTGGCATTTGTTATTTCAAAGTGGAGCTGAAACGGAACAATTGGAATTGATTTGGATTTTTTGCATGTTTAACGCGATTTTTTACTACATTTTTAAATGAAAATTTCCTTAAAAAATTTGGAAGGTTAAACGGGGCGTATGATACATGCCAGCTGAGAACAAACACAATAAAAATTATTCAAGTCACGTGTGTTGCAAAACGGAAACCTTTTCATGTTGGACAACGACGTACTCACACAAAGGCACACACGTGGATAACAAAATATGATCAGTCACAAATCGTCCATTTTCACTGGCACTTTTTCTTCATTATTTCAACCCATGGCTATTAAAGTTGATGTGCGGTCATTACAAACATTTAACACCTCCTAAGTCCACAGTGCGCGACATGCAAAGGCTATTAACCCGATTAAATCAACTGGAGCACGCTGCTAGTTCGCAATGGGCCTCTAATTATTCAAAGCTTCACATTTGATTCAGGAGTTTGACCCCACACACCCACACAAATACACACGAACACCCACATATCCGCCGTTTTTAAATGGGCCATGACAAACCAGCCGACCACAGGAAGTGAACGCCTATGCCCCAGCTCCTGGTTACGACCGGTTAGTTCAGTTTGTTGGCCCCACTGTCCCAACGGCTGCCCCTGCGGCTGCGGCCACTGTGGCCAACAGTGTGACATAATAAATTATGCTGCATAGCAATGATTAATTTGGGTTCAGCATGGCAACATGACAGCCGTCGAGGTGCGGGGCATCCAATCAAATGCATACAGAATGAGTAGTTGGAATTGGCTATCACACACACGCACACACACACAGGCTTGCACACAGCCAGGCACACACACGCATCTGCGGTTGCTGGCCCACTTTCCACTTGGCCAAAAAGAAATCAAAGTTCGCAGACTAGATATTCGTGCTGTGATTTCTTTTCTCTTTCAACAACGCCAACCCATATATCCGCCGGCCTATCTGTTTATGGCTATGTCTACGTGTGTAAGTATTTGAATGTCCCCCAAGCCCAATGAATTATTTCAAGCAATTATTTTCTAATTAATTATTTGACAGCTCTGCGAACTGCGCGATAATTTTGCCATTGGTTGTGGAGCACATAACACTCGAAATGGCAAGCATTAAAATGGCCAATGTTGCTCTCTAATTCTACGCTACGGGCGATAGGGAATGCTGCCAAATGGGTTTCGGTCTATCCACATGTTGCAGCATGTTCATAAAAAAGGTACTTAATAATTATTTGTATATATTAGGGCCACTTAATGAAGTAGGGCAGATTTAGAACGAAAGAAAATGGCATTTTATAACGATTTTTCATAATATCTTTGCGTCAATTTTCTTACGCGAAGGCAGAAGAATTAACTTCATTCAGTACTGCTATTAAAGAGCACCATTGTAACCTTATGCATTCAGGTATTATCATTGTCGTAATTGAAAATCCTGAAACTACAATTTTTGAAATTATAGAACTGTTGCCAGTCAGTTTTATGGTTATAAACGAGATCTAGTATGACACGCCTTTACGGCTAACACTCTTTAAAATGCCATAAAATTGAAAGTATTCTCCATAAAACGAAGCAGTCGCTTATTTGATAGTGGGTTACTAAAATCGGGAAAAATACTTTTATATGTTTCAGGGACAGATTTTTCCACATGAAGCACCAGCATCAAGCAGATACGCTTAAAAGGCTGCCCCAGTGGGCATGGTGTCCAAACCAATTGCAAAACCACACAAGAACCGCTGCTAACCGCAGCACAAAAACTAATTACATTATTTCGAGTTGATGCAATCAGAGAGTGCCTATGCCCCCTACGGTTTACCCCAAAAGGCCATCCACGTTACGGTTCAATTGAAAGTGCGGATGGGGCCAAAAAACTGACCTCACACATAAATATACATACGCGCACACACGAGCTCGGACGGGCCGCGTGGCAGGACATGCCACTGCATGCAAATCACTACAAAAATGCAATGGGCGGCGGTTAGGGCTGTGATTGGGATTGGAGATCAGCGACAGCCACCGGAAACGGAGCAATGCGGCATTGTTGGTTGCTTTACGAGCCGCAGCCACTGCATGGCAATGTCTGTGCATCTCTCTCTCTGCATGTGAATGCTGGATTAATGCCGCCAGCTGCGTTACGCTCGCTTTGGGTTTTACTCTGGTAAAAAAGTAAACATGCAACAGAGAAGATGAACCACCAATAATTCAGTGGCAACCGTTGAGCATAAAAATCGAAACAGCTGCAAGTATCGCATCGCTTGCTGCTATTCATTGTTGCTCGTATTTGTCTGTTAATTGCCATTGCAGCGCAATAAAAATGTGGAGCCCGAAATACACACGCAGTCACATACACACACACACTTTCACCAGCTGACACGCAGAGATAGAGAGAGATTTCAGACTTTCCCTGTAATTAACAATGTAGTTGTCGCGCGCATTTCAATTAAACGCATTTTAAAGCGTCTCCAATTGGGCGAAAGCAACTACAAAGGCCAAAAGCGTCTAATTAATCGAATTCTACAGTTGTGTGTGTGTGTGTGTGTGTAAAACATCGTACCGAGCGCCTTTGCTGTGCATGCACTTTGCACTTTACTCTTTACCCCAATTGCGCTTTTAATTAAAAGTGGGGGGAAATCTGGCAGGGTCTGGCTTTGCATTTTCGCTTTCACTTTGTAAGTTGCGCTCCAATTACCGAATGCAGCAAAAATTTCAACGCCCAATACCACAAAATCGTTTTTCCGATGCGAAGCTTAAACAAAATGTTCACTACAACACGCTCAGCCACATATCCATGCAGTCGACTATCTAGCTTTCCAGGCAGATTGCTGACGATGCGGGTACTCTAGTCCAGGACTTCGCTGCAGTGACCATATAACGACCCAAGGTGCAATCAGGTAAGTTTTTTTTATTTTATATATACACAGCTGTTTCTCCTGACAGACTGATTGGTATGAGCTGAGCTGGTCTTAGAACAATAGCTACGACAGAGTTTGAAAGATGGTATCAGAGGCGAAAAACATTTTGCTTTACCCAATCGAAAAATATATACTTGTACATTCTCATATATCTTACGCACAAAGATATATTATAACGAAGGAAGGATGTTCCCGTATAGTATATATATTGTTGATTAGGACGAGTATCCCAGCGTAGCCAATTAACTTCCTTGCTATAGGCCAATTGTGGCTGTGAAGTCAAGCATTGATTTGTCTGTGGCCAACATCAAAACTGTTTCTGTTTGAGCATGTTTGTGTTCCCATACATTCATGTTATTATACCCATTAAAATGCAGAAAACGGTTAGATAGGTTTTGTCCGAACTTCTTGCTCAGCATGAGCAGTCGAGACGATCTAGCCATGTCCGTTTGCCTGTCTATCTCGTCCGTATAGGACGACTCTCCCCGCTTCAATAATATAGACAAATAATCGATATCATAATCCTCTCATTTAGGCATATTCTCGAGCTTATAAGTTCTAGAGACAACAAATTTGGTAGGTCTACTCTCTTTCTAATTGAAAACTCAAATCCAAAATATTTCGTATTTCGGTAGTGTGGAAAAATAAGCACAGACACTGCATTTACCTCGCAGATTGGGAGAAGGGAAAATAAAATGTTTGTGACAGCAGCATGGCATCTTCTAGTCGGGCACTTCAAACCATATGACTCTTCCTTTTCTATGCATTGTTTTTGTTGCTGCATGTGATGAGCATTTTAAATACAAAATAAATGCATCGCCTGTCCCAAATCTCGTTTGATTGTGTAAATATTTGGATGCACATTGGACCATCAACAAATTTGCATCGGTTTTTCATTGGCTGCTGCGAATTATTTATTTTCATTGGAAGCCCAGGCAGCCAGGCCACAAAAATCTATGCTGCCAAATTGGTGATTGTCATTTAACTATTTTGGTTTAGCTTTGAATAAAAGACACATGAATCAATTCTAATGGACGGAAAATAATAAACAATTTTTATCTCTTAAATGGCTCAGCTGTCAGCATAGTATGTGATATTAGGCGGTTTCAAGCACTCATAACAATTTGAGTTTCGATTTAAATTATAGACCGCCCACGTATCGGTATACGCAAGAATATTGGGGCTCAATTTGACATTTATAAGAGCTTAAAATTTAACATTTCGTAAATGTACGTTATTTGAGGTAAAATTTTCAGGGTTAATTTTCATTCAGCTGCATCTCCTAGAAAAATCAAGAGCTCAATTTATTTTTACGGTTCGCCCGAAGTGTAATTCATTTCGTTTAAAAATCATTTTTATTGCATTAGTAATCAAATTATTTTGATATTTCTCGCAATTTCGTATTTCATTAACTTCTAATCTAATTCAATTATGAAATACAATTTGGTTTAAATGGAGTGTATTCATTCAATTGCATACAAAACTCATATATACACTCAGCAGAAAGCGATGAATAATTGATGGCCAGCAATTTAATAATACTTAGCTCGAGCAAAGCCAAGCAATACCTGCACTTATGATGTTGATGATATTGAAACTTAAATCGATTAAGATAGTTTTACATTTTTGTTGTTTTTTTTTTTGCTTGTCCCATGGCAATTTCCGCATCATTGCATTTGTGGTGGCGGGCGTTAGCAAATCCTTAAATATCCTGAGCTGTCAATTGCAATGCATGAGACTTTTCCCCCAGCTCATGTTGCCGCCTGCCGCGTCAGACACAGCTGTTGGCTCTGACCTTATAGGAATGTTATAACTCAAAGTGGGACGTGGTCTTACCGCCCAGCGCCAGCGTTGCGGCGTTATGCAATCCATGCCATGCAGCCATTTTTCAAAAATTCAATTGTATATACAATTCAATTTGTGTGATCAACAACGTCGACTTTGACAGGCCCCAGGGCCAGGCATAGAGTGCACATATCAGGCGTCAAAACTCCGAAGCGCTCACAACGTTACAAAGCATTTTGATGTTGCATTAATTTGTAGCTGGGGCTGTCGGGCAGGCGGCTAGACGGCTAGCTGTTGCGTGGCAAATGCTACTTTTGATTAGAACTGGACCGCAAAGAAATTATAGCATACTTTAATGCTGGCAGCATTCAGCGCAAGAAGATGGGCAAATAATTACGCTAATTACGCGTGTCAGGCTTATTAAAATAGAGCTGTAGCTGGGTCACATCGTCCTGCCATGTCCTGACCACAGCTATGTGGCCATCAATCACTGAAATTGTGCGCTTTTTCGCTTGTAAATAAATCATTAAAAAAACCAACAACAAAGCTCGAACAACAAAAAGCTCTAAGCGTTGTCCCGACTGCGGTCGCTGGGCGTTTAGCTAAGGACCCTGCGTATGTGTGGGTGTGAGTGTGAGTATATATGCGTTGTTGGGTGTCTTGTTTGCGATGGTGTCTGTCATTGTTGGTGGTTTTGTGGTTGCGAACAGTGGTCGGCGCTTTTAGCCATTTACCTACCTGCTCCTGCACAGGCAAACCAGCGGAAGTGGGCGTGGCCGTTGCGTGGGAAGTGTGCTCGAATGCGTCTGTTCATTTCTGGGACATGAGAGAGAATGCACGGGTTTCAAGCTCCATTCGATGTTTGAGTTTGTGTTTTTGTGTGTCTGTTTCATTATAAGCTCAACGGCACTTAGCACACAATTTAAGCGGCTTTGGATTTGCTGCTGTCGCTTTAGTTGCCATTCCTTCGTCCCGTGCCGTTCCCAATCGCTGATACATTTTGCTCTTGTTGGTCGTTAACAGGCAGCTCGTGAATGAGTTTTGGGCATTTGGCCAGTTTGCCCAGAATTAAGCCCGAGTATCTGTTGGCACAGGCTAATGCCTGTAATTATTGCAATTTTAATTTCAATGCCGAGTCATTTAAAATAATTGTGACATTTTTTGTTGACTGCTGCATTGCGAGAGACGGTTGCCAAGGGCAAACAGTCAACAAGTTGTCGATGGAAGTTACAGAAAAACCAGCCAATTGTGAATTTGGCAGCATTTTATATCAAGATGCACCATATTCCCATGGCTAATTTCAAAATTAGCCAAAATGTGCCAAAGTCATGCAAAGTGTTACGAGTTGAATAATGATGCTACGCTAGAGAAACTATGATATGCTGCAGATTAAGCTATCAAAATATGTAATTGGACTTGGAAGTGTAAGACCAAATAACGGTGCAAGAAATTGAATTAATTTTAAAATATAAACATGATGAATTTGATTCGATTAAAACTATTAAAAAAATACATTCGTATTAAGAAGTCATATTTAATTGATTTCCTTGAAATACACCAAGCCTCAATTGTAAATTGTGCAATGCATAATTTGATTTTCCAATTAGATAAGCACACATTGCACAAGTTTCCTGATTTAAACCGATTCATTGCCACCCCTGCCTCGCCCCACATCGCCCACAACTCGCCGCCAGCTTGCATTTGATATGCGTGGACGCGCTATCTGCCTAATTATATAAGCTGACTCCGTTCTGGCGATACCCCGACATAAGCGCATTATAGCGCCTCATAAAGCAAGTCAGCGAAGCTCCTGCGTGGCAGCTAACGCGATTTGTAGGCTCGTCCAATCAGACAATTACATATTACAATTACACGGGCTGCGCTATGAGGCGAAATAAATTATGTGTAGGAGCTGGGGGAAGCCGCACTTGAAATGTAACCAAGCGACACCGCTGCACACGCCTCAACCGCACGGAAGGGATTAATTGTTGTGCACTCGGGCCAAAAACTGTGTCCACAACAATTTCAGGAAAATCAATAGGCAGTGGAAAAAGACAAGGGTTAGAGGCGCCTTATTAATTGGACGGTGCTACACCGAAAAGGCAGCAAATACTTTCACGCTCGTTTCAAGGCGGCTGCAAAGAAAAAGGATATTTGCCCTCACCTTGTGCCTCTGCCACGTGCTCAGCAGTCATCGAAGTTGTCCTAATGGCGCCCCAGCACGCAAGCTCAGACGGCGTGCACTGGACTGGCAAGGCCGTCAGCGAGTGTGGTGGACGGGCACTGGGGCTGGGACTGGGACTGGGACATGGCAAAAGACAAGCATCTTGAGGTCTTTACTTCACCTCCGCTGGCCGGATTAGCCGTAGACACGTCCAATGTGTGTGCTCTCTACTATTTAACTTTTTAACTCAGAGCTGGGTAGCTGGCTGTGTACGGAATTTGCTCTGGTCACTGATTTCACTGGCGGTCAAGGCTGACAATATTGTACATAGTACCTGGACGTCACTAGAGCCAAGTCCCAGTCACAGTCCAAAGTGGCTCCCGGTAGCTGCTTGTAAATTTATGTCCATAAAAAGGCATAAAAAGGAAGCGGAAAATGTGTTGTGTAAAAAGGACGACGTTGAAAATAAAATCAACAATAAATTTTGCATGCAGCAACATTACGAAACAATAGCGAACCTTCAGTATCTCACTCTCTCTCTCTTTTTCTCCCACATGCCCTTCTTATCTCTGCACCGACCCTGTGAGGGCGTACAAACTGCAATTGGTATTTTTATTGCGTGCTCAACACGGCGTATGCGTAATACGAGTAAAAGGCTGCCAGTTGGCAGGACAAGCAGAGACGTACGGGTTTTTATAGCCTCTTTTGACTTATGCGCCATAAAGTGCCATAAAATGAAATTAAATAAACGAAATGTAAAACTCATTTTTACATATTGATTGCAATTTCTATCAACAAATTTGGCATGCCTATCAGACGCGACAAGGACATCAAAAGGTTGCAGAATTCGTTTTCAGAAATGAACCAAATATAAAAATTATTTAGCATATAAATTTTAAATCAAATATAATAACTAAATCTGATGAAAAAAAAAATAACTTCGTTTATGTTTTGTCTTTCTACAAATTGTTATTGCATATTTAGTCATTCTGCTTTAAATATTAAAATGGCTTAGTATACGAGCTATTTCATACTCAATTTGATTTAATTTATGTTATTAACACTTTGGGACTGCATATTTTATAACATATTTCAGTGGAAAATTTATTAAATTTTTATCTGGATTTCCTAAAAAATTGTTTGCCATTGTAAAAGAGTTCATGGTCTGTTCATTTAAGTCGCATTTCGTATTTTTGTGCGTTCCGTATGACAGTAGGCGGGGCGATTACGTGAGGGACATCAAAGTAACCAGGGACCTGCTACGCCTACTTTTTACGCTCCAGGCAACGCGAAGCGCTTGATGAAGAGTTGTATAACTGCAGGGGACTTGGGGTTGAGCATGGGGCTTGGGCTTACGCCTAGTTCAACTGATGTCGCATTTGTTGATTAAGGATGCGTCTACGAGGCGCAGAGCACACACTTTTGTCATCATTAATCAACTGACGTCGGGCCTACTGACAAAGTCAAAGCTAAAGCAATGTGAGCAAATTGTCGGCACAGAGTAAATGTGAATAAAAGTCTGCTGAAGCTGCACCTGTTATATAACTGGATGGCTGTGTCTATGTCAACTGATGCTGGCTAAGAAATAGCAAAAAATCAACACTTTGACACTTGATTTTTCAGCCCAGTGCACAGCTGAGTCTAATTCAAAGCGATCCCATAACAAACAACATAGAAAAGTTTAGTTGAGGACGACTGACTAGGAAGCATCCTGTACTTCTTCTTCCCTCACCCGCGCACATTAAATAATAGCTTCTGTGACATGAAATGAAAATTTCAATACCTTGAGGAAAATAATTTTCGTATAAAACGTTTATACATAACTGAGAAAATATTAAATAATATGAAATAAACTAGCCTATATCTTTAGCTCTTTTATTATTCAATGTACTTCCACAACTAGGTCTGAATCAAATTGGGAGTGTTAAAAGAGAACCTTCTGCCTTTTTCATACATTTTCACAATTTCATTATTGCCATCACTACCAACATTCAACAGGCACAGGGTATAGAACTTTGAACTTAGAATCGAACATGGCCGACAGACAAGGCGGAAGCAACTGGCAGCTAGTAGCCGGACACTTGAATAACGCCTTCGTAATCTGCCACAAAGCATTTCAAATCAAATACAAATACAAACAACGCACAATTTGTGGAGCAGAGTGGCACAAAATGTAACAACAATTACATAAACTTAATAACTTGATAGCTAAAGATAAACTCGAAGAGCAGGAAGTAGAGCCAAAGAGCTGCCAGATGCCCAGGGGTCCTGTCGGCTGTCGACATGATGTGAAACTGCCTGGCGGGCTATTCAGTCTACAATTTCGGAACGGGCCCTTTAGGAGTTTGCTAGCATTGGTTTTGCCTTGGCCCGGCCGACCTGCACACACAATTTTATGGCCGCAAACAATTTTGCAACGTTTCGTAAACTTTTCAATGAAAATAGCCACAAGCTTCGGGGCGGAGGCTCCAGCAATTCAGCCCCAGTTCATGCCCATGTTCCTGCTGTTGTTGCTTTTGCAAATACATTTCACTTATTACACTTTCAACTGTAAGCGAATGAGCTTCGAGACTAAAAGGCCCTCCTCAGGCTCGTTTGTTAGAACAAGAGTTCGAGTCAGCAGCAACTGAATGCTGCAAAAGTGAAAGTAACAAGCATCACTCAAATAACAAGATAAGAGCTGGAAAAGAATATATTAGGCGTCTTGACATTCAATAAATTTATACTTCTTTAATATGCCTGCATGCCAAAACATTTAGTAAGCAATTTGATATTCAGCTGTCGTAATTTATAAATTGTCGCCATCAATCAAGCAACCTTGCAATATAAATATAACTTAAGGCATTAAAAACGTTTTTATATAAATGTGCCAACGGCCGACACGAGTGAAAATGAGTCGGCATGCAAATGAGCAAAAAAGTATGCTTAGAAAATTTGATTAGCATAGCTCTGTATGAGAAAGCGGCAAACAATTTTAATTCATTCGGGTTCGCTGCATGGCTTATAAAGTAGTGAATAATTTACTTAAAATAAATGGCACTGCTTTTTATGGGGCTGAACACCTAAAGCATACCAGATTATAGACTATTTCAATTCTAACATTAAAAATTTAATACCCTTGCAGAAGTATACACAGTTGATGTAGAATATGTTTCCATGCAAATTTATTTTTGATCGATTGTTTCAATGATAGGCTTTTGCTTTATTAACCCTACGTTGAAAAGAGTTTATGGAAATAAATATAAAAAAATGAAGTAGGATTGGTTTATTCAATAGGTTCAACTAGGGAATAGCCTTTAAGTAAAGCTGATCTACCGTCATAAGAATTAGAAGTTTATTTATATACTCTTGTTTGAATCTCAGGAACAAATTAAAGTGATTAGCATTGTTAGATATTTTACGCAATATTACAAAAAACGGAAGTCGATTTACATTGAATTTTGTAACTTTTGATTTGAACATACTTGAGCTAAGCAACAGAAATTTAAATAGGCTTAGGCCAGATTTTACTCAAGAATTTCGTTGTTAGTTGCGTTCTCAATGAAAACTCATCAGACAACGAAGATAAATGTGCTATTCGGAATATTATGTATATGTTACATGTTAACCTTTTATCAGACCCAACGGGAGAGTTGACCAAAACATTTGCAAACTAATTTGCCAACTATTTGGCAGCCACAAAACTACAAGGCCCAAAACTGTGGCACTTCAACGCACAATTCAACAACTTGGGCCCCAGATAATCATTTCCAACAATAGCAAAGCAATGGATAGCATTGTGTTTGCGATAACATATGAGACAGTTGGTATCCTGGCAGACGAGGAAAAATAAATCCGTTCGAAAAATGAATTCAACAAAAAAAAAAAAAAAACAAGAACAACTTTTGCGTGTATGCCCTTTGTGGCCATAATTTATAGACTATCTGCCAAAATATTCCAGCTGAGCCATAAAGATTCAATTTCACAAGCAATTTATATAGCTGAGCAGGCACCCCTTTTGTAGCAGACTGCAGGGCTCGTATAAACAATTTATATATCCACAGAGAGGTAGGCGTGTCCTGGGCAAGTTAGAGGGTCCAGCTGTACAAATGAGCAACATGCTCGGACCACAAGCTCTTATTTATACGCCTTAATTGCACATGGTACAGAAATCGTTACCTAAAATTTGGATTTAGAATAAAAACCTAACTTGCATGGTAAGTTTGGCATTTAATTTGCGTTTGAGAGTTGTGTGTAAATTGAATTAAAATAATTAAATTATCTGCCCGACAGGCAGAGACAGACGGTTGAACTGACAGACACACAGACAGACAAACATACCACGTGCAAAACTTTAATTAAATCATATTTTATTTTTACTGCAGCTGCCTAGCCGGGTTTTATGCACATAACTCGTGCATAAGTTCTCCTGCCACGCCTAGCTTATTTTGCCTCCCCCACTTGGTATTAGCTGGGAAGAGAGAGTTTGAACGAGAATAAGGGGGCGAAGAGGTGGCATTAAAAAAGTTTTAATTTGTTGACTTAACCGCAGTTACAGTTACAGCGAGGCTACTGCTGCTGCTGTTGCTGCTGCTGCATCTGCTGCTCCTCGTGTTGCTCCTGTCCGGTCATAACTTTGCTTTACGCAACTTAACATGCATATCTCGTCGTTGGCAACCCCTGGGAGCTGCTCTGTTTCTCGCTTATCGTTCACTGCACACGCAGCTGCAACATTTTGCATGTTGCCCCACGCTCGGCTCATTCGGCTGTTGCATTTTTTGTTGCCTCCTCTGCTTAGCCATAAATATGCAGCTTAAAATGGCTTTCGACTGGCGGCTTTTGGATCGCGGTTTACGTAGCGTATGATTGATGCCGCTCGGTTGATGCTGTTGCCTTTTCCTGTCGCTTGACTGTTGGCCATTAAGCAACATTTTGCGGCGACAAGTAACAATCCTGCAAACTGCTGGCCTTTCTAATGACTTAAAAATCATATTCGCATACAAGTCATATTACATGCACCTTGTAAATATATGTGCTTTGAGAGACATTTAAGAAGTGAGAATATTAACATAAAGTGAATTAAAACACACAATGCACGGCAATAATATAACGGTGGTTATCGTAACAATTAGCGCAAGGCATCAAATAACAAAGTCTGTTATTATGTATACGCCATGTGCGCCCAACCTGCTTAACACATTTACATTAAATTGATTTCATTTCAATGAATTATAATAGCCGTATATGTCAAAGCTGTCGCTTTCATAATTATAATACATTAAAAACAATTTTTTTTTCTCGGTATAGTATATATTTATATTTTATTAATGAACCGTGCTCTCTGCACGCACACGAAATGCATAAAAATTATCTGTTATTGACAGCGCCCGTCAGGGATGCAAGGCAATAAAATATATGTGTAAAATATTTGATGGACGGAACATGAGAAATAATTGTGTGGAAAAAAGAAAACGAAAAAACGAAACGCCAACAATTTTTACGCTCTAATCAATCTAAATTGAACTTTTTGCCCAAAGCGCTTGCCAAAAGTCGCTCACTCGTCACTTATGCTAAATTAACAAAAAAAAAAAAAACGGAAAGATCAAAAAAGAGCTAAACACAGTATATGCATAGATATATTGAAGGGCAGAACCGAACCTAAGGGTGGGCCTTGTACAGAGCTATGTAAATTGATACGTCACATTCTCGCTGGCAAATCAAAAATCAACAAAAGTTGCGATTGGTCGCTGGAATTTTTTTGTTTTGTTTTACATTTGTTTGAACCCTGTGCTATTTGCCATGAATTTTTCCTTTTATTTTTTGCCAGAGTTTCACTTTGTGCGCTACTTAGTCTCACAGACAGAAATTTGCA